TCAAGCTATTACCACTTTAACAAAAAAAGGTTTGCAAAATACCAACATATTTACTATTCAAGTTTATAATAAAATACTTTCAACATTTGGTAATGTGAATGTTGTGTGTACCTAATAAATGCAATTACAGCAATAATCATTCTAACCTTATACAGTCTATATTGTTCAACTGTTTTGCCACTTCTGATTTATTACCATTCTCCAATAAATTCCATAGTATTTCCACAGATCTGAATAGTAACCTGTAATTAAAAACAACAATGGCAAGAGTTTTATATAGTTATGCATGACTTGACAAATGAGATCAACTGCCAAATTGACCACCAATGGTACATTTTCAGTTGCTGGTGAAATCTTGCTTGACGAGGCTTTTACTACAACAACCTGTTTCTATTTACTAGTCCGCTGTGATTGCTAGACCTATGCAAATCACAATCTTTTTTATCAAATTTTGTTGAAACCCTGAACATATGTGTACTGGTTGCAGTATTTCATGTATATTCTCATACAAAATATGATATAAATACTTATAAGTGAATAGTATATACTATGAGTAGACAGTCAACAATATTTTTTTCTATTAGAAGTGCATCTCCAATAGAGTAAACAAGATATTCATGATATACCACAATTACAAAAACAATATACAATTACATAAAAAAGTTAAAAAAATTGAATCAAACCAACCAGCAAAAATATAAAAAATAATCATTTTTACTATTCCTGGTATTTTTATATCTGCTGATTGGTTTCACCTCTGTTAAACCACGCAGTGTTGCATAGAAACGCTCCATATACATATTCGCTAGTGCTTGTTCATAACATGCATCTGTTCATTGTTTTGTTATTTAAATATTCACTGCAATGAATTGTTAAAATCAATCAGTTTTTAAGTTTTTACCTTCCTGTTGTTTCAGGGTCTAACATACGACTACAGATTCGACTTGCTGCATTGGCTTGTAGCATCTTATCACAGTTGATAGAAGAGAAAGCTGACAGATGTTGTAATGCATCAAGGACTTCTAATTTAATGTCAATTTCATCTTCTAAGAGAGCTAATGCCTGCAAAAGAAAGGTTTGAAAGTGTCTTTTTTTGTTTCCTAAATAAAAGCACATTACATGAGTGAGTTTGAATGTGGCCATCATATTCACTTAGTACATGTAGTATGAATCTGCATTCCCCATGCATTAAAAATGTTGCTAAGCCCCCTTATTTGATCTAATGGTGATTACCACAAATATATATATATATATCATATGAAAAGACTACCACTGTCTCAATATTAATTCTCACTCACAGCATTTACAATATTTACCTTGACTAAAGTCTCTGCCACATCACTTCTTTCAATAACAGCTCTGTTATATGACTCAGAAGCCTGTTTGAATCCAACAATTTGTTCATCAACTGCTTTTTCACTGTAAAAACTGAGAAGAGATTTACAGATCTGGTAGCGGACAGCATTGCTTGGTACTCTCATCAGGTATCCTGGAAAAAAAGAGTAACTTATATCAGCTGGCAGGTGATTACCAATTTTACAGATTCTATTATTGCAGTTGTTGTAATTATTGTATATTGTAGTATATTGATCTATGCTGCAACTAATATGTAAAGGTAGGTAGCAGCTTACATGCATTGGAAATGAAATTGCCTGAAACTTGGCTAAATTATTCTTCGTAATTAGTTGTTGAAACCCCCCCCCAATAGATGAATTAGTTTTTGAATTATGAAAATAACAACCAAAGTAAGACTTGTATATATAGAAAAATTTATCAAGTGACTAGTCATTCTTATGTAACAATTGCAATAATTAAGTGTTGCATAAAAATACTAGTTATGATTAGACTTACCAAGCTGTGAAATAGATTCAACTGCTATCTGAGAGTAAGCTGTCTCATCGGATGACTTTTCTTTCAAAAACGGCAAACTGGAAAGATAATTGTCAGAAATCATACAATTTATAATTAGAAATGAGATAACTTCTTAATGTTAGCTGAAACAGATGCCAGGACTACTGACGATTAGAATAATTGATTGAATTGGACATACCTGCATATTTTCAACACTTCACACATTGGTTCAATGTATTCTTCATGTTCACCAACTCTATCTGCACATACGTTCAAAATTTTAAATACCTGGACAAGATCTTTCATAAGCTGATTTGTGAATGTCAAGGAATAAAACACACTAATGCACAATCACATTCATCATTTATAAAAAATATCATAACTTTGACAGAATGCATAAGGCTTGCAAAATAAATGTGCATCACTGATGAAAAGATGTACCGGTACATTGGAAAACATTATTTAACCAATAAAAGTAGTTGAATGTTTAGTTGTAAAAAAAATAAAAAATAATAGTGATATAATGAAGGATACAAATCCATTTTTGAAGTGCCTTATAACTTTCCACATAGAATGAATGTGTCTCTCATAGAGACTTGCCTGGAATAGAGAAAGTAGACTGGATAATATAAAATAGTTAAAATAGTTGTGGCCACAGTGGTTATTGCACATGTACACGGGCCATTTGATGAATTGGATAGATAATCTTAGACAAGAACACGATATAATTCAGATCCAAGTACTGTAAAATATATTATTTTAGTGAAAATTAATTTTCATTGAAAAGACATGACTGCTTTGTATGAAACATGATGTATGAGTATGAGTTTTTTTTTTCATTCATTGATTCATTCCTTCAGCAAAAATAAATTCCAAATAAAAACTACAGTAATTTACAATTCTATAATAACATAAACAAAATGTTATCCTTTTCTGTGGGTGCTTTGAAATGTCAGCTTAGCATGTTCACATATTAATTCATGGTATGTCTTTGGTCACTGACAGCCAATTAGTATAATTTGTTTTAGCCAAACCAAAAATCTAAAAATTTGCACCTGGTGAAGAGTTGCAGAAGCCAAGACGATATTATTTGTCTCAAGCACAAAATAAAACTGATGAAAACATATTTAGAAAGATTTGGCCTTGAAATTGGTTGTCTATATATTGAAGCTCAAGGGGATACTTATACACATGGTATTATTTACTACTCACTGAATGGGGATCTGTTAAGAGTTTAACTGTTCTTCCAAGGTTCACTGGATATAACTTGATACCCTGCAAAAAAAATTACAACTGTATTTCTGAATCACCTTTTTCATGTAATATTGTTACTACAAAATGTGATATCTGAAATTGATACGTCCAGCTTATACTCTGAAATCCTCGAAACATATTACAATATTTCATGGATTGTACCAAACAATCTAGCTCAGGTATATTTAGTACATGTTACTGTTATTGTCATCATAAGTTACAGCATACGCAATGATTTGTTGTTACAAATTACAAATAAAAAAGACATTTCAAAGTTTTTTCAGAGATGATATAGGTTACTAAATGAAATAGTTGTACATGTACTATATATAACAAGACATAACTTGTATTTTATGCACTCACCTTGATTTATACAATACAATAAATTAAAACGTAAACTAAACACAGGATAGACAGTAGAGGGAAATTGAAATATGGATTTTAAAAATGTGTGTGCTCATATTCAATGGCAATTTAAATTAAATCATTAAATTTTATGTATTCCATTATAATTTGCCTTAGTATATATTCATCTATTTTCACCTAGACATTCCATTAATTGTACAAATATATTCTAACCACAATAAACGTGTGTTTGACACCAATGCCTTCCAAAATTGTTACTAAATGTCATATCTCATCAATAAGATTGCATTTATAGTTTTAAAACTGAGCGTATGCAACATCATGGCTCCTCCATCAACTACATGTATGAAGTGTTCCACAAACTTCAATGTCAGACCACACATGTATGTGTCATTCACAGTACATATTGTGGAGTATTTAGGTCTAAAGGAAATAATGAAATCTGCAGTAAAACCATCTTTATTTGTCCCATATCATATATAAAAGTAAACCTAACTATATTAATGAATCAGTGTCGGGGGTACAAAAGACATCGCATCACATGTTGCAAATAAAATTTAGATGTATGATTTTTTACATAGTTGTTTATTATGTATAAAACATAAATACATTCTAGCGACCAACAATTTGTACTCTCTTACGAAATTTTCCAGTTTGCCACCATCAATGATTTAAACGTTGTTGCCATAATGGCCACTAGGGAAAAATACAATTTGAGGGCTACAGATCTCTATATCCATGGAGACACTTGGGGTACTGTGTACGGATTATTGAAAATCGAATTAATCACACTAAAGTCGTGATAACCATATGAATACCTGTTGAATACCCATGTCTTCATCAGTTATTAAATGTCCCACAACTGGGATTGTTGTTTTCGGTTGAAACTGGGTCGCAGTCGTCATCTTGAGATATTATGAAGCGTACTTGGCAAGACACGTCGTCACAGTCCTACGTTTCAATACATCGAATGCGCGTACAATAGTAAGACTTTGGTATAAATGCCAAATTGGCGACAGGTAGAATATGATTGGCTGCAAATGTAGAAATATTTCGTCACGGCGACACAGTTAAAATTTTAACAAATCGTGCCGAGGAAAGAGTGTATTTAATGATCGCGATTTTACTCAATATACTTTCAGCTGACACTCCGATAACATTCTATTGCTCAACTTGATAATACAGTACTCGATTCCAATCCGATTCGGCCAATGTTCACACATCTAGATGAAACACCCTTGAATAGCGACGATCCCGTCAAAGCTACGAAATTTATCTGACCAAAACAGTCGCCATATTGGATTGGTTGCTAAGCGTGATGAAGTGCGCCCTCATGCCTGAAACGCTTTCTGATGCAGAACATGACGCAGAGAATGTATACTGTATATAAAAGTTAGATTGAAACGTTTTCATACCCGTGGAAACAATACAAATCTTCGTTTTTAGTATATGGTTTCATACATTCAATTACACACGTAAAGTTATGTTATGAAAATCACGGGGTTAAAGATCACATCTGTTTCGTAAGAGGTCACTTAATTTGGCTGTTCTGTCAATATTGAACCCCCCTCGTGACACTGCACATACAACGCTTTCTTTAGTGTCACGCCACGCATTTATATTGCCAGACATCGTCCGATCCGTGCAAACGCAAAATGAATACTGGACTGGGGTTGTTCACGTTTGTGGTGTTCACAAGAACTGCATATTGTTTGTGGCCATACTCATTCCATGCTTCCTGCAAAATTGACTGGTGAGTAAAGGATTCCAAGCGCTTTGCACTATTTTTGCGTTTTGAAATCCACTGTCATCGCGTCTTCCACTTCCTGTGCTGTCAATATAACCCCCCCCCCCCTTCCCATCTTCGGGATACCGTAAAACACGTCGAAATAGTTGCCTACATGCCATTTTAGCGAATTTGATGCCTGGAGAATCTTAATTTAGCTGTGGACCTACAAACACCATGATTATTATATGAGTGGTAGGCGAATGTACCGGCTACTGAACGTGGAGCTCCATGGACTGACCAACCTCATGTATGCCGACCCTAAATTAGGTCAATATTATTATCCAAGAAACGTTCCAAGCGCATGTGTTACGAACGCCATGATTTAGTCATTGCTCTACAAACACCATGATTTAGCCAAAGTGCCAACAATTTCCAATCTGATTAATCTGATGTAATATTATACGGCGTGTACTTTTATTTTATTAGTACTAATTGTTGTATTAATTTGTAATTTTTTATTATTATTACAAATCTTATGTTGTATTATTTTAACTATGGATTTTGTGATGTATATGAGAAAAATAATTAAATGCATAAAAAAAAAAACAATTAAAAAAAAAAAAAGCCCAAACTTATTTTAATCAGATTGACTTTATTCTAAATTAGTGATTTATTGAATAAAATGTGCTAGCTAAAAGGACCTGTTTTACAGTATGTGGGGGACGTAAATATTGATTTGTTAAATATATTAAAGGGTGACGGTTGTAGCGCAGCATGTGTTCGAATTTCATGTAAACAATGTATTTTACATGCGTTGTGTGTGTCGCTATGAGTCCCATATCAAACAGGACTGGACAACCACTGCACTTTAAGCCTTAGATAAATATCCCTACACTATTGTCCCCATGTGGGATATTTGATGAGAACATGTACCCCTTCCAGCTTCTTTGAACATGATTGCTATCCTGAGATTATAGCTATTGACTTAAAGCGAAGGAGTGTCATTGTTTAAAAACAAGCGTCTACCCATGAACCTTTGCATTCCTAGCATGTGTTGTTATTATCGCTTGGGACGCAATTCCTGCGTGTGAGCATGTGACGACCCTCCTGCCTTCAATAATGTTGTCCCACATATCCTAAGGTAGAATACATGTCAGGGTTTCCATTGACTTGTGCAAAATACGTACACTCTAGTATCATAACATGCATACACAATACTGTAAATAGGTTAATTATTCACTGGGTTTTAATTTTGCTTATTTCGCTGACGGGAAAATGCGCTAAATTAAAACCTAGTAAATATGTAAAATTTAGCATAAAACACATTATCTAAATGATAAAACCGTGAATTTAAAACCCACTGAATATGCCTGAAATGGTAAATCAACGAAATTTAAACCCAGTGAAAATTAATATACAAAGGATCAATTATTTCCTAGCTGTATTGTCTAATCAAGTTTATACAAAAATTACAGTTAAAGTCAATGTCTGCATTAGAATACCTAAACAGAACATTTATGATCAGTTGAATAGTATTAGTGATTCTTAAAAATAGAATCTCGGTGACATTGAGATGAGATATTTTTGTAAATGTTTTCTCTCTAATTTGCATACAAATATTTTACAGAACATGCATAATTTAATCTATATCTTAGTTCAGAAAACTAATATGATTCAGAATCATATTTAATTTGTGTGAATTATGAAATTTTTAAAATTTCACTGGTGTCTTAAGATGTAAACATTAACCTGCTACTGATACTTTTGTAAACTCATTACTCAGGTCGTTTGGTTTGAACTGCACACATGTAAACACTGAAATAGTTTCGCAAATCAAGAAATGGAAAGGACCCGATAACTGTGAGCAAGGTGGACAAAAGTGTTTATATGAGGTATGTTGATTACAATCTAAACTTACCACTTGCATTTCCTGCACCAATGTAGTTTTTGTAAAAAAAACATGTATTTATAATTTATTTATTTTTAGCTCTGACTAGTGGAAGCTGACATATTTACTTGCTTTCACTTGAATGTGTAGTGTTTCTGCAATTCAAGAAGCCAGTCCACTGGAGTGATTTGGGTATGTTTAGTCTAGTACAAGGCACTGCTTAGTCTTGGATATAGAAACATTGTTGCAATATTTTGTGTTAACTTGATCAATTGCTAAGCAATAATGTATAGCAATATTGTTAGCCAAACAGTGATGTAAATTGCAATATTGCCCAGTGGATGATAGTAAACTACAAATGTAGGTACAATGTAGCTGGAACATAATTATGATGAGTTCATATCATTCCTTGATTTTATCTGTTTATAATAGACCTAGCTAAACAGTAATTGTCTGAGTTCAGCTTTACCAGTAGTTTAGATGTTTTTGAATTTGAGTTGTTGGTGGTGCCTAGACCTATAGGTCAATCAGAGAGTTGGTGTTGCTGTCATGTTTAAAAGTAAACAGTACAATTTAGATAGTAAAACAAGTGATCTAATTTGGTGTGAAGCAGAGAAGAAATTATCCAAAGATATAATGGATCTATTCATTGGCTGCTTTGCATCTTACCAGAACAGTCAATAACCCCATAAAAAATATGGAGATAGATATTTTCAAACTGGGAAATGATATTTTGAAATATTCTTCTAAAGGGGATGCTGTTATCCTGTTAGGTGAATTTAACTCCAGAATAGGCTTAGACAATGACCACGTTGATGGCAACAACAGTCAAATTCAAAACCAGAAACAATTATGATGTAACTTCTGAATCTAGTGCAAACAAATTTAGCAAGAAATTAATTGATCTCATCAAAAAACATTAATATTATTCATTATTTATTAAAGTTCATGAGAAATATTTTAGATCACTGCCCAGTTTCAATGTTGTTATCTATCAGTGTTCAAATAGATAATGAGATTTGAAACAAATTTGGACCCATTGCCATCAAAATACATATGGAACGATCTGCTGAATTCATGATTTCATCACAAAAACCCTACAGTCATACTTGAGCAGCTACGTCATGTATCAGTGACTTCAAGGCTCTTCTGTAGAAAAAAAAATCCAAAACATTCCAAAGAGAAAACTGAGAAAATTGTTTACTCATAAATGTTTTTAACTTCGCAATGAGCTAAAAAAAATACTCTAAATTATTCCAAGATTACCCAAATAATCCTGTAATCCATAGAAGATATTTTGTTTCAAAAAAACTGTTCAAAGAGCATATTAAAAAAATAAAGAAAAAAAAGAAAGAAAGACACAGATTCAAAATCTGGAAAATTCTAATTTTTGGAAACAGGAATATATATACATGTAAGTACTACTGTAAAATCTGTATTAGAAGCTGTGGCTTCTATTAAAATGGTACAATGCAACAGAGGGGATGCGTCTTCTATTAAAATGGTACAATGCAACAGAGGGGATGTGGCTTCTATTAGAGCATCTACACATATGAAAAATGGTGAATTTTTTATTCTCAATTATTCAAAAATAATTCTATTAGAAATGCGGCTTCTAAACAATTATGTAAACAATTCAAATAACGCAGCAAAGAATTTGCCTATGGGTATTTCAGATGAGCGCACTACTATTCAATATCATTTTTGAATCTGGTGAGATGTCTGGATCATGGAATACAATCATGCTGTTACATAAATCTGGTTCAAAACATAACCCAACAAACTACAGCGGTATTTCTATGTCAAGCTGCCTCAAGAAAACTATTCACAAGCATTTTGAACACTTTGATAATATCATATTTAGATAGGAATTGGTTTTAAAAAGTGTTGAACTTTAAACAACAATTAAAGACATTTGTGAATAGATATCTGTATCATGAAAAAGAAATTCTAAAAGCACTCCATCTAAGGCCAAGAAATGTAATAAAATTTAAATTTGTTTTGACCTCAAGAAAGCTGTTGACAGTATCTGTCTGTTCAATCTTTTCATTAAAAACCTGCAAAATATGTTTGAGCCTAAAATCTGTGACATACCCCAACCATCCCTAAACAATATTAAGCAGTCTTCTCTATGTTATAGTCATGTTAAAATGATGATGGGTGATGAATGAAATATGAAATCAAGCATTGAAGATTTACATCTCAGTTTTTGTTTTGTCAGTTACATCTCAGTTTCTGTTAGTATTTACTCGGTGTATCAAAGCATACATCCAAATTAGCTATTTATAGTTATTCGATTGAAGTTTTCATTCAAAAACAAATTTTACAATTGTGTTAGTACAGGGGTAACAGTGAAATTGTATTACTAATGAACCACTCAAAGTAAATGCGGTCAAAGAGAAAATGGTGGATACAGCTATTTAAAAAGGATATCCACTTAAAAAGTTACCTACCGTAACTGGTTTAAAAAAAAATAATGCTCTATTCAAGTCTCACTAGATTCTGGTTAAATAACCACAACCTAAAAATGTAATGTGGTCACCATTATAGTGTACATGTAGCTGTTGAAGAAAGATTCTGTGAACACTCTGATGATATTGAACATGAACATTTCTTAATGTCTTGTAGACTTTACCAAATGCAAAAAAAAATAATAAATTCTTTTCAACTAAAAATAAATTTGCATTTATTATGGCAGTGTAGACAGGTCAATACCGCTTGCACAGTTCATATCAATATGTATGCAACATAGACAGCAATTATTTTTAAAACTGTATTCATTGCAATTGTAACCCTCTTGTCTTTTGAGGGTTGTTATGTGTTGAGAAAATTATTATATATTCTTTACTTTATTTTTTTATTCTTTATCCGTGTTTAAATATATTATAGTACAACCACAATATTTTATAGAGATGAAGCACCAACCTACTTATCAGTCCTTCTAAAAACAAACGTTCTAATTCGTAATCTCAAAACACCCATCAAACACAACTTCTACTTGAATAACATTAGAAAGTCATTTTATGGAAAACATGACTTCCAGAATCTTGAACAAAATTCTGGAACAATTTAACATGAAAAACTTGTGAATTATTTCCCATTTTAAAAGCCTACATTACAAGACCCATCAATACATTGTATCTTTCAATTTCTTTATTTGTTTGTTTGTTTACTTATTTCATTGTGAAGCACCTCTGAGACTTTCTGGAATTATGGTGCTAATTAAGTTACATTGATATAACCACACTGCGTATGTTTTAAATAACGAGTTACATTGATTGTGTTTCTCAGCTGATTTTTTCCAATGAGACATTCATCCAAGCAACTCATACAACTCCAGTCAAGAAATACATAGATGATATGACATTCCATTTACAAGTAAATCAGAAAACATGCTCTGTACAGGTAATGTACTATTTTTATATTATGATAATTTAGTCACACTGGATATGTATAAAGTGTGTAGACAAATGTCTATAAGAGGTCAACTTTACATCCGTACAGCCTTGGTGCATACATGTAGTTGCGCTATTCTTGTGGTAACCTTTTTCCCGCTTTTAGTAATAATTTAATAAGAAATGCCATGCCAATTAAAAAAAAAAAAAAATGTTGTACAGTGTGAACATTTATGTTCAGTGACATGATCACACATTATAGTGCAAAGGAAAAGCCAAACTAAGTTAATCCCATTGAACAGAGAAATATGGTTATTAGTACCCTGGTAGTTCTGTATCATTGAAACCCACGTCGTTAGTCTGTAATAATGGAACTATTTTCATTAAAATTCTGTTGTTCAAAATAAACAAATAATACCCGGTAGTTGTTTTTGTTATTGAAGGTAGTAAATAAAAATTATAACTCACAAAACTTTGGTTACAAAGTATATTTAATCAAAAACCGATGTATGGTGTACCCAGGCGAGTTTTTTCTGTACTGAAACACTGCATTGTATTCTATGCATGTCTCTATGAACACATAGGAAGCCATCAACGATTTCTCATTTCCATATCATAAAGAAAAATAATCCAGGAGAGTAACTCAAGTTCAAATAGTATTTTCATTCGCAATTGTTCAAGATTTTCCTTTATCAGGGACAGACAGTGCAATTTGTGGATTTTGCCTCGCTGATAGCAAAGTGTAACTTATTGTCAAAGCATCAAATTATTATAGCAAATGTATCCATTTTATGGAGATTGTTTACACTAAATATCACAAGTTTTGTTAAGAAACATGATTTTCATATTCCTACAAAACTTTCACAACCAAAGGAATTGTTGGTGGGTAATATTAAGTAAATTGCTAACAAAATTTGAGCATATTCAGACCTTTTTCATGGAGAAATCCCATGCATACGAACATACAAAGAACCTAGAACACTTTGCCGAAGTTCTTGAAACCAAAATTGTAATCCAACTCAGAAGCCAATCAACAATGCTTTTACAGTTATATGACAATTTTGATTTCAAATTCCCCAGGAAAGTGTTCTATATTCTTCATGTTATCAGGATTTTTTAATTTTACACCCCCCAAAGATGAATTTAGCCAAATTTTGTTAGCGATTGGCTTAATGTTGCCTTTGGGCATGAGTCAGTTTTGTCGCAGTGAACAGTACATATCGTCTCACCAGACCTCCCAACCACTCGTTCACCTATTGCACAATTTACGCATATATCCACTTTCTACACAAGTGCTGATTTAATTAACTAACTTGATGTTAGTCTGCTCATTCTTAAACTAGGCAATAAACAGATAAGGGGGTTTAGCCCACAGACCAAGCAGATTTCACATGTGTACCCATTTTGTCCATTCCTCTGGATGGACTGCGGGTTCCCGCCAGGGGGACGTCATCATTCATGCTTCACAGGCGAATTGCATTATGGGCTATTTCTCTATGTCTGTCCGCAACTCGCTCCCCCTCCAATTTTGCCTAAACCTCATGCCTTGTGTATTGAAGCATTATGCAGATAACAGTGCTTGATCGTCATATAAAAACAACCCAACTCATGTAATTCACTTAACATAACCTGAAAACTTGGGTTGTGTATGGTTCATGTAACAAGCATCTTTTATAGAGAATGCTAATGGTGCTATGTGTATGCATGTGTATTTAATAGTGTATGATATTTACAGGGTAATTCTGAGTCCAGGGTATGGTATGCTGTGCTGGATTATGGAACAAACTACTGTAATTTACACAACATTATAGAAGGTAACTAAATCATATCATAAACTTTATATATAAACTAAATATTTGTTTTGAATGTGAAAACAGCTTTGGTTTAATTTTTCCGTTCACCTCAAGATCCTTGCATATTGCGTGAAAGGCGCAAACAGAACGTCTGCCACAAAGATAGAACAATTTCTGTTTTTATAGCTCAATCTCGTAATGGTGATCTTTGAGCTCGAATATTGCATTGGGATACCTTTACTTCATAGAAATTAATAATCATCAAATGTGTATATAACATTATTAGGCATGGAAATACCCCAAAATGTACCCACGCGATGTTCAGAAGCCACTACGACACTATGCCCTTTGTTTGTCCCGTTTTTTCGTTTGATTTCACACATGACACGGGATCTCGCAGTCAACGGAAAATGGTCTATTGAAGTTTGATGTAGTTATAGAAACTGCTGTATACACCAATCAACTCAAACCATTAGTCTGATCAAATACCTCTCCTTTGAAATGATTTATTGTCAGCCAATTAAAGAGTGCCTTACTCAGAGTGATATGTAACACAAGTTATGATTGGTTCTGAACCTACATGAATGCGCTTTGCAGATAGATAATTAACAGATGTAGTTAGAAACAAAGTACACAAATCGTCTTTTAATAAAATAGAATGAAGCCTCTACAAACCGACATCTGATATTTGTCAATTTGGATTATCCTTAATTGACAGACTAACTCCAGCTATATTTAGTGTATGATGCATCTCCATGGTATCAGATTTTGCAAAGGATTATGGGATAAATGTTTTAGTAGTTTTTTAGAAGTTTATTCATATAGTGAACTCAAATAAAAAAACTATTACTAATGAAACTATACTGTTCAGAATGAAAACAATGAAGGATTTCTCAGTTTAGGCTTGAATTATAAAGACTAGCGGACATCTTTTTTTGAAACTTGCTATAACAGACTTGAATACGCCACACAACATTAATCCAATTAAATATTCACTTTTTTTAACTTCATATATCAAAGATTCCCCCCACCATTCGAAAATATGCCTAGCCCCCGTTTTAGGCCCTTTATATATAATATGCTTAGATCAATTCACTGAACTCAGTATTAAGATACTCAAAATAATGGTGGCCTCCACTGTAACTACTAACAATAACTACTATTGCACATGCACGCCAACAATGTCATAAGGAAAGTTCCAATGGAAAAGTTTATATGGAAATATGGCAAATAGTTAACATGGAATCCCAGTAACAGCATGTAACCCAGCATTACATTCATACATTAAGAGTTCATTACACTGACTGGTCTTTTATGCAACTGAGGTTACACCAAAAAAAGAGGTTAGTCACTCTTTACAAATTGTGAAGTCCTCCATTGTTTTAATTGTGGACGCTGTCACCACACACATAAAATGTCTTCTTAAAACTGATTTAAATTCAACCAAAACTTTTTAGTACTGTGATATGGAAAATAATAAAACTTGACTTTGAATGAGTTGAAATCGAATACACTTGCCTATCACTACAGATATAACAATGAAATTGTTACAGAAAATTGCATTGCTTGAAAACTGAAGAGGTTTCATGTTGATGTTAGCTTGGGGCTATATCATATGCAAAAAACCAATATGGAGAAAACGCATTTCTGCCCTATATTTACGTCTAGTAGAAAATGTACATGTACTTGTTATCACAGCAGTGCTGCTGTAATTTATTTCTTAGACAATCCTGGTAATATCAAATTTTAAAATTTTTCGGATCATTTATTGTTTATATCCTTTTTAGTTATATTCATTTATTTACGTCTTCCAAGTGGTATTGATACATTGGTAGAGGTTGTGATGTTATTATCAACAATTTGATCATTGTTTTTTTTAAAGGTGCAGGTCTTGATAAAGCACCAGGATATAGTGAAGACACCGCTGATAAAATATGCACCCAGTATACATCAGCCAACTGTGAAGTTTACTAAACATGGTTACATATCATCAATGCTGTTCTGTATCACAGAACCAACAAAGTATTTTGATTTTATTTAAATGTATGCTCTTATTTTCATTCTTGTGGTTGAGATTCGGGCGTAGACTTATCGTCTCGTAATGACAGATAAAACCTCAAATAATGATTTGTGTTTATTCAGGGCTATAGATAATTGTAACATTCTTCCAAAGCATTTTGATACTTTTTTATGAGGCCAGCAAAATAATGGCTTATATAATTTTGCTTAACAGTTGTTCCTACAGTGTAACTGTAGATATTACAGCCATGATTATTTTGTGCCTTTATATAAGTCTGATCGAGATATAACATATTGATGTAGGATAAATGTTGTTTTTTGATGTAAGCAAGTCTAGTAAGTAAGGTCTATGTAAAACTACTCAAATTACATGCATGCAAAGAATTGGATGGCTGCTGAGAATTTGATGAGTTTCAAGCTTAAATCACATGCATAGTATACATTTAGGATAGTACTTATTTATCTTTGAATTGTCAATCTTGTACGTTTAACAAGACAAACAAAACTGAAATGAATGCAATTGTAATGTTGTACGAATAGCATCATCATAGCATCATGAAATAAACAATTTGTACTGACGCAAATGTGAAAGATATTGTCTCTGGCTGATAGTGTGGCTTTACAAATATAAACCCCATAGTTAGTCCAATGATCTTCAATAGTAAAGTTTTTGTTCATCATTTTTAGTCGGCATTTACTGGGAAAGTTGCATCTTTCTGTTTTTCAATCGGCCCCTGTTCACTATTTCTAAACAATGCCTAAATACCAGAAAAGTTTTTTTTTTTAGAGCAAGGTTGTTCCTGCATGATCCAAGTGGAAAGGACAACTTTCAATCGCTGTTTAAAAATGGGACTCTGATTTGAACCAAGGATTTCCACATCAAGCTGTATGGATGCATGGTGTTGTGTTGAAGCAGTATTGTTTATTGTCTGAATATGATATTGCTTGTGTAAGATCACAAACTTTAGCTTCATTTAATCACTGCATGAACATGGCAGCCATGTTGTAAACACTCCCTTACATATTGCCTGTGAGGGCGCACAATACTGGACATTACAGCTTGATTACTGTAGCAATTTTTTTACAAAGGTTAAAAGGCAGATTCCTGGAGATAATGCACCTTTTGAGTCGGGGAGGGAGTACTCGCACATATTCAGGCTCACACACCCACCCCTAAAAATGTTAACACTATATTATGAGCCGAGTACTCTGTGTATTGAGTCGCACGAGTACTTTACCTGTGTTAATGCAATTGAATCTGAGCTGTCAATGTTTGGTTTATGTTTTGATTGGTCACTTTTTTGTTGATTTATAAGAATTTTTTTCATCCAATTCACAAGGTTTTGCTGAAGCTGACCATCTATAGCGTTCACAATGTGATGACTGAATTAACGAACCTAGTAGTTTTGCCTGGTATAATTTTACTTGAATTTAGACATTTATTTCATTGCAAAAATCATGGTAATCTGATATTTAATAATCTATGATCAAACATGCATCGTAGCTCAATGCATACAGTGTGATTAACCCCAACAAGTTTTAAACTGGTTGTATTCACATTTTTTGTTCAAATTTGTTTTCAGAAATTAATTATCTGAGCGCTGATAATTTATTTTTCAGAGTTATGCATTTGTGTCTTAAGGTAGAAGCCTACTCATAAATTAAAATACCCAGAATTTATTCATTTTGCAATAAAATGTACTTCAATATCTCAAAATTTAGCCTGGTGACATAGGCTGAAAAAATCATATATTATTAATGATGGAGTACTTTTTGTTCTGAATTATTTAAAAAATTTGGGTTTTAAAGTGTCAAAAAATGCAATTTTTCTTTAACACTGTTCTATGGAATTGTTCTAAAAATAGCAATTTTCAATAAATATTAGGACACGTTTCTCAAAGCTTAACTGTAACACACAAAATAATGCCATTTCATTGTACCATGGGACATTAGCTTCATGATTGTACATAATAAACTAATGAACATTGTCATGTGATTTATGACCAATTTTGTCAAAAATTATGACTTGGCTTCTACCTTAAAAAGAGCATACATGTAGTACAGTATTTTAGCATGCCCTACATATACTTTATGATGCACTATATTTTGGGATAGTGAGTCATTATATAATCAAAATGATATTTTTAAATACATAACATGCATTGTTGTACCCAATTGATGCTAGAAAGGACCCAAACAATGTAACAATACACATATTGTATGGATGAGCACCCACCTGGACGCTCTCATTAAACCTTGTTATATGGAAAGTGTGGCCATTGAAGGGTGACGCAACATGATTTAAACTGAAACATGCTACCTGAGGTTCTGATAGTCTTTGTCTATGTGAATCTTGACAGGGAAACATTGGAAGACTGGTAACGCGACTTTGCGCGCACTCTCAAATAAAAATATCACTTTTTACCAAAAATTACCAAAATATTCACCAAAATTAGATAATTAAAGATATTACAAAATGTACAAATCTGAGGGAGGTCCATATGTAGTACCTATATATGTAATATCAAAGCAGTTGAACTTGTGGTTTTTCAGGCTTGTAGTTTTCAATAAGTTGAAAAACTAAAACATTGACACTGACAATCACTCGTATGATAAGCTCCGCTCGACGGCGAAGCTAAAAATGATTGAATGAGTATAATATGCTAAAATCCTGACTTTCAAGAACTCGTAAATGTTTCACGTGTTGTATGACGCACATGCTGTGGGGGATACTTTCTCGTAAAATAATAAACTTAGTATATAGAATCACCAGTCGTTTCATACCAAGATTAGTACCGAGGCTAGCCAAATAAATTAAATAATTCAGTAACTAGTCAATACATTAATTTATTATTTTTCACAGTAGGAATGTCTAGTTTTGACGTTTTTCGTACTGTTTTCCACATTGGTTACCGAATTTCATTTCATTACCCAGGATCCTCCTCAGTTCTTGCCATGGCTCAGGTGATTCTATTATCACAGCTACTAAAAATGTGAACAACAGTAGGTGTGAAAGTCAACGTTTTGTTGCCCTCCCGTTCATTCGAACCACAACCTCTGTAGTAGAAGTGGGCAAATAACATTTGGAGATAATTGCTTGTCCACTGTCCTGACCATAGTCCTTTAAGATGCATGTTGGCAAGTACGCAATAATTTTCCTGATCTTTCAGCTGAATTGTTCAAGGAAAGACGCATACCACATTATTAGAAAATACTTTGATTAATAAATTGGTATTGCATCATGATATAGCAAAATCAATAAATCACTATTCGAGGGGCATTGATTACACACATACATAAATGTACTTCAACTGTGGTATTGCCCACTGATGCGCTACAACAAACATATGGGATATTTTCCTTTCGACTGTGTCAAACTTTTTACGCTCCACCTTCAAGTTGACAACCACCACCACGAATTTGTAGTTTTATAAAGATCACTAACATACAAGTAGACAGGCGACACCAATCTGTTTAAATTAGTGTTGAATAAGACTGCCACATTGTCAACAGTAACAAAAAGCATACAAATTGTGTTTACATTGTAGCACGTTCGTATTGATTTCAAATTTATTGAATCATGTCAATTTGAATGACTTATTGACACAATATCAAGAGTTTCACATAAAAACAGATGGGAATGACTCCACATGAACTCAACATGTATGAAAACATTCCTTTATTTCAGTTATAAGATAATATAAAAATATTGCATAGTTAAATACTTAAAATACTGCCAGGATGAAGAATTATGTTCCACGGTGCTCTGCATAATTGAATTCTGTGGTGCAAATTTCGCTACAGCTATAATTTTCATAGATAAGCACCCAAATTTTAAATAAATCACTTTGATTGGTTAAATGTAATGCATTTGATGCAATTCACATGTTCAGCATACACTACTGATTGCAAATTCTATATAAATACACAAAACCAAGATATCTATTCAGTTACGATATATACGCCTTTTGCTACAATGTGGTAGCACATCAACAGTGATGAGAGGGCAACGGCACAGAGGAAATTGTATATACTAGAGATCATAGTTGCATAGTGCTTTCAAATCCCAAGAAACCACCATTCATCTAAATAAATTTCAAACTTAACCCTCCAGTTAAGCCTAATCTCAACAAATTTACTTTCTGGATTAAAATAACAATGGATAACAAAAGATAGATTAACATTGTAAACAACATAAACAATAGTGTCCCATGATTCTTTGGTGCAATCCATGGAATTGAGCAGTTCCCCTTTAACTATCAAACGGGAATTGTAACATGTAAAAGTTGTTTTCTTCTGGGACGCTTTGCTTGTATGAACATGTACAATAAAAAATGCTCTTAATTTCTTTCTTGTTTGTGTAAATAGGAACATTCGGGTATCTCATCAAATTGTGCCAGTAAATACGAGTTTGCAACATCTCCTGGTAATACATCGAGTTGCTTTTTTCATCTAGTAACTGCTCATCTTGTATTTTCTAAAAACATTTATAACTCACTGCAGTACCTACCTAATATATCGATACATGTTTTAGGCACAAAATGTACAACGGTAGTCTAGTTGTCTGCATAATAATGTTAATCACATAGATGATATGCCAACAACAATCATTCATTCATTTTGCATTGCTACTAATGTTATCAAGTTTCACCTACACCCAGCGAGGTTTATGGTGATTCGTCCTTTCGTTCTGGTTGGTCACGAACATCCTCTGGCAATTGCTCTTTTTCTTGGGCATCTGGCTCGACATCGTGTTCTTCAGCTTCAGTTTCTGGTGAAGTCTGCTTTTCTTCAAAATGGCCTTCCAAACCAGTTTGTTTCTCTTCGGGCTGTGGTTCTTTTGGCTCCACTAATGTCTCTGGATGTTCTTGACTGGCTGCCTCACCACCTTCTCCTTCACTTCTTAGCAAATCACTCTGTTGGTCAGGTGTCTCAACTTCAGATGTTGCTGGTTCATTCACCATTGGAACATCATCCATCTGTAAAATGTCTTCATCTTTGCTCTTTTCATCCTCTAGTGGGTCAACATCAGCTTTAGTATCAACGACCTTGCCAGTGTTTTTTTCCTGATCCCCAGCAGGTGTAGATTCTGATGACGCTTCATACTGTGCCTTTTCATCCACAATGCTGACCAGCACATCAGGTGTTGGTTCATCTTCATCTTGTGGTGTTTCCTCATTGCCTGATGTAGATACCGGTTTTTGATCACTGGTAGTGATTTCTGGGGAAGCTCCACCTCCAGCTAGTAGTGGTGTTTGTTCACTGGGCTCATCATCAGCACCAGCACCAGATTTTGGATCTGTTTGATAAATTTGTTGATAACCACGGCTACGTTTTCGTCGTACAGAACAGTAGTATATAATTGCAGCCAACACAAAGAAAAGTATAATAGCCCCAATGACTATTATGATCCTAGAAACGAATATAGACAAGATGTGGAATTGTTAATAAAACATGTTACTGATCTAATAAGCACACTACCAACAACTCTATCCACAGTTGATGTAGTGTATCTTTGAGTCATAGTGTATGACTATATTTACCAAGGCCATGTTTTGTCTTGCCATTCTTTACTGCAGCATTGATTGTTCCCGCAGCAATACTCCGAACTGTCACATCTGGAACAGAGACATGTAATGAAACAAACAATAAGATAAATTATTTGACAATTCAGGATGCTATCTGAATTGTATGTAATTGTAAGGCTGATGATCTTCTAACACTGGCTTGGGCTTATATTTAACATGAACATCGTGAGAATTGTATTCCTATACCCTTCACCGGTTTGTATTCTTAATTAGTATTCGTCACTGAATATACTCTATTGTCACAATAAAAAGTAATTAAATACTAACTAATATGTGATGTATATGCAACATAGAGGCATGGCATGTTGCATTGATCAATTCTTTCATACATGTGGCACATGTAATCCATGTGGTAGCATAGAGCACATGGCGTATTCATGTATCACAAAGCTGCATCTCACAAAAATCATTTGTGGGTCACCATGACACACAAATGATGCGATATTTTTATGTTTCATTTGGCTACAGATTCATAAGGTTTTATATTTCCAACAACGGATTAACTATTATTGACATACGCTGTGAGATAACTTGTCTCTAGTAAACCAACTGTCTTATGAGTTGCCCATTCCCTGATGCAACCACTTCCCGTACATTAACCTGACGAGCTATCTACCTATAACAACCCTGATAGACGGAACCCGCACTGACATGGTAGAGAACCTAGGCACAGTCTCTTGCATCATAACCCATAAATTGCAACAGTTTTCGACAGTGTGACCTTTGCCCCTACAGGAAACACAAATTATAACATCTTGTTGTGATGGTCGTCCAGGAATGTAAGCGCCATACTTTGGGTGGGATCTCAAATTGCTGTCGCACTGTGGATGTGTATGGATTTGTACTCAACTGGGTGTGGTCGTTTGGAGAAGTTGAAACCTATTGTTCAGGTAAAAACAAAGAAAGTGAAATTCACATGCTGAAGGTGAATTACAATTAGTTTAGTCAATACTGACACAAGTTTTCTTTCACTGTATGTCAATACCGGTAATAGTTACTCTGTTGGAAATATAAAACCTTATAAATCTGTAGCCAAATGAAACATAAAACAAGCCATGGATGACACAGTCCCCGTTAGTTATTGAATTTAAGATGTATAGTTTTGTTAGTCCCCGTTCAGACTATTAATTTGGGTCCATCCGTCCATCTGTACATACGTCTGGAGCTATATCTCGGACACCCATTGACAGATCTTGCATATGACTGGCGGCCATTTTGGATGTAAAATTTGCTATTTCTGATACCTAAACGTGTCCGCAGCTGTTTCTCAGAGATGACTGGGCTGATTTGGATCAAAGTTGGTATTGATGATCATACATATTGGGTTGTAGGTGCACGTCATTTTTTTTTCGTGATTTGAACAAATATGGCTAACTGGTGGCCATCTTGTTTTCATGGTACCCATGCTACTTTCTCTTGAATGCCATGAACGTTTCTGTTTAAATTTTGTACAAAGATAGTATACCAAGAGATACAACTACACCATTATTATTTTTGTGATTCGATTAAATATGGCTGACGGACGCCAATTTGGATCAAAGTTGGTATGATGATCATACATATTGGGTTATAGTTGCATGTCATATTTTTTCTGTGATTCAAACTAATATGGCTGACTGGTTGTCATTTTGTTTTTCATAATACCCATGCTTACTTTCCCATAAATGCAATGAACATTTCTGTTTAAATTTTGTACAAAGACAGTATACCAATAGATACATCAACATGAACATTATTTTTATAATTTGATTCAGTATGACTGCCCAATGTCCAATTCTCATGTAAAAGCACTAAATAATATCTTTTTACAAATCCATCTCCTATTAATGGTTTCAATCTAATCTCAATGACTTCATCAGCATCAAATTGATATGTCAAACCAACAAATTTTGGACGGGGACTGTCATTAACAATGACTTGTTTATAGTAATATAGCTGGAATATAAGCATGTCAGAAATATGATTATGATGATTATTTAACATTAAAATGATTGACATTTGTATCTGATCGTCAAACTAGTACTTGTCCACATTGAGAGATATTACTCTGGAACAGCATTAATTAAAATTAAATCAGCCATTTTGATTCACATATATATCTATAACATGATGTATAATGAATATTTAAAATTTGAACATAATCAGTCAAAGCATGTCAGAGATATGGCACTAGAACCACATTCATTAAAACAAAATGGCCGCCAGTTGGCCATTTTGAATCTCATCCGAGAAAAAACAGCAGAGAAATGCTTAATTTTGATGATTTTTCAGTACAAAAATGGCTGCCATTTGGCCATCTTGAATCAGATCGTGAAACAAATTGATGTGCATATGTATAATGTTATGTAAGATCTATGTTTGAAGTTTGATTGTGATTGGTCCAGGCATTTTTACAGGACCAGATGCACGCACGGAAGCACAGACACACGAATGCACAGAGGTCAAAACATAAGTCCCCGTTTTCGGACTACGTCCAAGCAGGGACTAAAATATTGCATCATTTGTGTGTAATGGTAACCCACAAATGATTTTAGTGTGATACAGCTTTGTGACAGATGAATGCGTCAATATTGGTAACATATAAAATAACGAGGTATAAAAGTTATGACAATTCTGGACACCGCGATATTTGCATCAATCACGCAACTGCAATAGATCTGTTGAAATTGCACCTGGATGCGCCCCTGGATCCGCCGCTGTAAACGATATATAAATAAATAGTTCTATGAACTACATCAACAGTGCCACAGCATGAGCGTTATTAACTAAGCACACGATTGGAAATAAAATACAACATGCACATAATATATTAAAACAATAGTACATACGGTGTAACTGTACAGTTGTAACAACATTCATTATCACCACAGCAATATTGATCTTTTTCACATCTGAAATGAAACATATGTATAATAACACATTGCACGGCAGGTAACAGTTTATAATGTTAGTATAATAATTCAATAGACGTCACAGTGTTACATCCATAATGATACATTTACCAACTCAGTTTTGATATAGTCTTCCCAGTTAGAGGACAGTGGTTGTTGCGCCGCGCCACTCATGCGCTACATTTGTGTTGATAAACATTCATTTTCCCACAATCCGCTTTTCTAATGGAATCCCAAGTACATGTATGAGTTTCGCTCTGGATGCCACTTACTTACTAATTTACCACCGGCATCTCCTTCAATACCTTCAAATCATCAAAAATTTGGTAACATTTCACTTTTAATCGTTGGTGTGCCCAATAGCGACGACTACATGCAGTAATATAACAATTTAACACAAAAATTGCAGTTGCAATGATTTTCTATTCATGTATGGTCATAACAGATTCATCGTACACTTAGTATGTATATTTGTAATTTATGCATGTGTACAGTCTGGAAGTTCATCGATGATATATCATTGCATTTATTTCTGTTATTTCCCGTCGAATCCAATGAACGACTCGCAAATGCATCCATACGTTTACATAGCCTGAACAGAGTTAAAAGGGGACACGCAATAATTATAGACTAATAAATGTACATCTGAATAACACGTAGCATGACAGATTTTGACAAGCATAATGATATACTAATTAATAACGCAATAACATATGATGGGAAGGTATGATAATTCAATCGATTTGGTTCAAATGGTGTATATACATGTACATACACAAGCACAAGGTACTTTGTGCCAACCACACTCGCAAACAGACATACCATTGTTTAGTCACACTCAATTCACTGTGAAGTGGTGACAATGAAATTCTGCAAGCGATAGTGAGATTTATTGTCACAAGCAAGGAGTTAGAGAGTACTATTTGACCCGAGAAAGATTTTAGTTTCCAATACGTTTTAGGCCAAGGCTATTTGAGAACTAGTTTGATGAAATCCAATTGTTTATTTTGCCTTTTGCAATGTGTACATTTTTTAAAGAATTTCTTATTGAAATAAATTCAACTCAACAGCATTATCAAAAGATATACCGATCGTTTGTACTTTCCAAACCATTGAAAGAAAAGGCATTTCGTTATCGCATATGTTATATAACATTAGAGTACAAATCAGGCATAGAATGCCACCAGTTTCCCAATTAGTTTATAATTAGTTCAACTTCACACATGTACATTTCATTTAATATATGTAGTTTGTATATGTATATACTGATGAATAATATACTGAACAATTGACAAGCCTTAACAAAATGAGCCCCCCCCCCCTCTCCCGCACACACACAGCGTCATAACAAGCATGGGCCCGTTTTGGGCTGCAATATTTTAAATAACAATGTTCGGTGAGCATTCGCCAAATAAACAATGTCAAAAATATTAAAAATATCATTCCTTTGAAATCATGAATGTTCATTCTACATTCCGTGAATATTTGACCTCATCGAAAATTAACTTCTGCATGAACAATACGCCAAACGTCCGCACACAAACGTGACACGAAATTGTCATAGCGTAAATAGAGTTATATTTATATTTCATGCAACATTACATTTACAGTGATGGTGACATAGACTCCGAGAATTTTAGCAAATCCAAACATGTGCGGGTGGCAGCTCTTTTGTTAAGTCCCGATATGAATGAAACTCTTCCACCTGGGTCTAGTCGAGACTATATAATTATTACAAACACTTGGGTTTGTTCGTTCGTCCATTCATTCATTGTTTGACATATTTGCCAAACATAGTTCTTAAAATCTTTTGAATATATACATGAACCGATAACTAGTTTAATTGGGTTTGTTCGTTTTATCATAGACCCTCTAACTGTTAGAAGGTCTGTGGTCAATGGATGTCGTAGCTAGTGTATACTGTACGCTAAACCAAAGACAATAGAAAATGTCTTTGGCTAAACAAACGACCTTTGATCCACTCCTGAATACACGCGTACTAACGTCAGTACGTGAACTACAAATTGAACGTTAATCAAAACAGCTGGTATTATATTAACTCTGATCAGGGAGCTCCCTGCTCTGATCAAGCAAGACGTTAGATCGAAATCTTATCAAAGGATTAAAAAAGGGTATCGTAAACGAGCACACCTACCGACCGGGGTCACATGTCTGGCAGCTGACCTAAAAAAGAGGAATGTCAATTAAGCGGCTTAATAAATGACGCGGTATGCGAACTTGTTTCTATTTGTCTCAAATCATCTACAAGTATCGAATAAATATACATGTATACACAATAAACATATAATTGTTCAATATGATGACAGTTACAGAATGAATTCCTGTCTGTTCGTGGATATATTGCAATGGTGAACGCATACGGCATGCCAGTAGAAGGCGTACCCACCTCAAGTATAAATATGTAGAAAAATACGCCGATTGTAAGTGCTGGAACGGACAGTTTGGTCATGATTTAGAAAATACGTGACGATATTCTGTCATGTGTTGCTCCCGTATTTGCCTAGTCAGCTGACCCAGCGTACCCACGTGACTAGGTCATGTGTGTGTCATGAGACGAGGTCATTCACCAGACAAATGTAAAACTGCGAGTAATTATGCAGTAGATACTGATAACATTTATTTATTAACACATAACAAAAAAGGGTAACAAATCAGATATAAAATAACTTCATGAAAGAAAAAAAAACATAAAGCAAAGATATTAAGAAAAAAATAATATTGAAACTACAAATGCAAATACTGAAATTTGTCTTGAAAAAAAAATGATTAAAATTTGTATACACGGAATGTGTTACTGGTTTAGTTTATGAGGTGCTGCTGTCTTGTATTAAAACAGTTTTATTTAAATATTGTGCTGAAGGAATTGACAGTAGAACATGGGAACACAGTGATCTGTCAATGGTAAATAAACTGAAGTGGATTGGTTTGTGTGCTGCAGTTCCAGCAGTACTTATAAAAAAGGGGAAATATCAATTGAAATGAACAGATACCCCTGGAAGAGGTATCTAAAAATACCCTGAAAAGAATGTTCATAAGTAAAATATTCATGAAACCTGCCAATGAAAAAAACATGGAAAATATTCTAGATTTGAGTATAAACTGGAATTTAATGTACAAAATGATCACAAAACTAACAATAGAAACAAAAACTAGAGAGTTTCAATTTAAATCATTACACAGCATATTGTATACAAACTCCCACTTAAATAAGGTCCATCCTGTGTGCTTCCCAGAAAATAAATGCACTTTCTGTAATCAACACCTAGAAACACTTGACCACCTTTTCATGTCATGTAAATTTGTAGAGAGCCTCTGGCAAGATGTGATAAAGAATCGCTTCATTTGGATAAAGTACCAGGTAAGCTGTGTGCAGTTTTGGGAGATCCGGAATACAGTTGGCAAATTAACTTTATTAGTTTGATGGTGAGAAAACATATTTATTTCTCAAAATATAAAAGTACCAAGCCAACTTACCAAAACCTAATGCATTTATTGCGGAAACATTTCCAAATTGAAGGTCAAATTGCTAAACAAAATGAAAAGGAAAATGCACACTACGAAAAGTGGTCTCTCCTGATTCCTTACATCATAGAATAAATAATGAAATGTATGTATATGACGAGTTTCAATTTAAGTTAGAAATGTATGCTATTATTGAACAGCCCAAATAAAATTGCTTAAATACAAAAAAAAAAGAATTGACAGTTTAGTAGACTATACGTCATAAAACGACTGGTTGACGCATATTCTATCAAACAAATTCATTTGTTACGTCCACGTTACGGGATCTCGGCACGTGCCGAAACTTTTACCCCTTCATTCTTTGGAGAGGGAATACAGCAGTTGCTTTCACGTTCGTCGGGATCCACTCGGCTCGTGGCGAAATCACGCCCCCATTCGTCGATCTGTTATTTGAGCCAAACATGGACAACGATGCGCATATGATGATAATAATAATTGCTATATTAAAATTAAATCCATTGGTTGTTATGGTATTTATTACGGATCATCGTGCACATGAATTGAAGAAGATTCGAAAAACAATTATTGTTTACGTAAATAGAAAATACCGGTTGCAGCAGCACATAAATATGCATCGCTACATCATTACTACATCACCCGACCATATATAGCTGCACTTCCCTCCATCGTCATGCCGTACTAGTATGAATCAATATGTGTTCTCTTAAATTTACCACCGAGGGGGTGATTTCGGCTTGTGCCAAGCGTTCGGGCAGCAAATTTCGGCACGGGCCGAGTTTCGATCCCAGGTATCTATTGGGACCAAGATAGAGTCTCGGCGCATGCTGAGATCTCTAACGTGAACACCGCTCATGTCAATGAGACACGAACAACCTTAATGTATGTAAGGAAGACCATAAGCTATATCTTAAGTCTTACAATAAAATACAATTTTGAAGAATACTTAACTATTCTGAATCCAAAACAAAGAATTTTAGCAGCCAAGCAATCATAACTTAGCTACTAAAAAGGGGAGACATACTAATACTAAAACACCTTTAGAAAATAGAATTTGTAGTCAATGCTCATTTCAAGAAATAGAAGATGGACTACACTTTTTCATGGAATCCCCAAAATATCTATCACTTTGACAATAGTTGGTCGAAAGTAAATGATTTTTAATTGTATTTCATTATTTTGGTTTATTTTTTATTGCTATATACTGATAGAAAATTGTGTGTGTTTCTAAAGATGCAATAAGGTTGTTGTGCCTTTATCATATTATTTCTGTATTAATCATGTAATGTACTGCATTTATCCTATTATGTGGTGTATTCATTATCTTATGATGCGAGTCGTAAATTGAAACTCGGGAGTGAATATATATTGGCCGAATTTATTCAAGTACATGACATTGAATAAAAATAGATATTACATGGTATATTTCCGCCAAGTGATTATTACATGGCATAAAACATCCGAATTAGGCAGCCGATTAATAAAGATTTCGAAATATGGAACCTGTATTACGTCATTGGTGTTTGTAATCTAAGAATTTTAATTAGCTAATTTGCATTACATTCACCAGTTTCAGTATTGTTCTTTGTATATTTGTCCAAATTACCTTGAAGGAGCTGGAGGTCTGTATAGATGAATCTGATCATCATTGTGCTTAATAATTAGTTAATTTTACATACTAATTAATTATTATCAACTTGTATTATTTTGTCCCATGACACGGATATTGTGTCTTTAAAAAATGGGAGTTTTTTGAATTACTGTGTTGTTCTTCTGGTTCACTGATATCTCAGTAACTAGCTAACTGATTTAAGTGCGACTTAAGTAGTTTAACATGGACTATAGGT